ATAATAATAATAAAATCATCCATCACAGTCTGAAAAAATACTAAACCATTTTAGCGAGGACAATCTAGAAATCCAACTCGAATTGATAGAAGAAATCAAAGATGTTATTTGGTTAAATGATCCAAATGGATCGTTTGTAGATATAAGAGTAGTTGTGGCTAACAAAGATGATAAGAATGAGTGCAAAAATACATTGGATGACATGGATGATAACTTAAACAATGATTACGATGGTTGTAATTAATATATGTTTTATTTATTGTATTAATAACAAATGATGTATTTTTTATTTCTTTTTTCATTATATGCGATACATAATATCGATCTCAATACATCTTCAAAATGTTGGTTGTATATTTTGATTATGTGGTGCTTAAACTAGGTTGCTAATTAGGTAATTAGAAAATATCCAATTTTGGATTTTTTTAATGCTTGATATTGATGATATATTTGTTGTATTTTGTTTAATTATGTTAGGTTATATTATTCGACTATGACATGTGGTTTGGGCTGACCCCCGCAATCACTACGAATCACAATTTGGTAGTAGTTAATTTCTATCTCCATCCGATGGTAGCTTATGAGAATCCCCGACTAGCATCGATCGAGGATCTCCCATTTCAAGCATCGTGTGTGGGTCTCGTGGCTCTCGCGACCATAGATATTTTTCTTTTTCCTCCCATAAAGCCAACATATCTACAATTTCTATAGCCATAGTGGTCGCTCCATTCGTAGAGGTTCTCGTACCGGTAATAGACGCTCCAATGACGCATCATCCATCGATGTATATGTTGCTCTAGAGAACTCCCAAAGCTCCTTCAGTCGATGGCATATTTTTATTTTTTAAAGATGATGTAATTATTTTTAATTTTATTATATCATTTTGATAATTAATGAATGTTATTTCCTTTTTATGATGTTCGATAGTTTTAGTCTGTCTAATAGAGATTATCCCATGGGGATAACTATAACTTTCAAAAAGTGGTTAGACGTTGGTAGGTCGGTATGGAAGTCCGTCTCGTAGCTCACAAAACAATTCTACTTTAGTGAATTTAGAATAACTTAGTATTAATTTTTTATATTATATTTAAAATATAATTTAATATTAAATGAAGTAGTTGCTATTTATTATTTTTATTCATATGGAAATATTTTTACTAAGATTCGACCATCAAAGCGCATGAGAGGCTCTAGCAAGGAAGTCACGCTCCTACTTCATCTACAAGCATGGTTTATTGCCCGAATGAACTAATTTTATTAGGTTGGAGGTCCGAGACCTGGTGGCATCAAGATTTTGCCAAACTTGATTGCAAGGCTCATTTAGAACGAGTGTCGCAAAATCAATGTCGGAGATCGATGGTCGTAATGTAGGCCCTTTTAGGCATACAAGAGAGTCCATCTCTTCGAAGAGCATGCTCATTTTTTAAAGTATTTGTGATTCATTTTTTTCAAGAGGCAAAATTGGGGCGTGAGCCAATGAGTTTGGAGTTATTTGGGGTCAATCATAATCGTGAGATGGCTCTTTCATTTATCTACGCACCTAGTATATAATGATAAGTGTTTTTAATTTTTAAATTTTATATATGTATATATAATCTAATTTTTTAATCTTTTAATGTTGTAATTATTTTGATTATGTAACATGTTGACAAGCTTATACGTAAAACTCGTTCTTAAGTAGCAAGTAGAAGAAATCTTGGTGCCACGAGTAGATGAGAATGCCATATACCTCGAGCTCAGTAATCGGAGAAGAAGAATAGATTATATGGTGTAGGCATGCGAGCATTGCATTATCTATCCCGATCAGGTGGTGTTAGCTTGTCCTTTGTGTCGTCATATTATACCAGCGACATTTCTCATGAGAAGGTTAGGAGGTAGTATGAGGAGACAAAGGATGTGATGTAAAGGATGAAGTCCAAACAAGACAAGTTGCAAAACCTTGTCACACGAGTAGTAAAGTACCATATATAGGCTATAGTCTCGGTATGAATCACTTATGTTGATGTTGAATAGGCTAGCACAAATGTTCGGGTTGACTCTAGATTCGCCTAATAGTCGGGACTCCACCGTCCTTTCCATCAAGCCCTAGAAGGAGGAGAGGGGATTAGATGATTAAGATGATGATCAAGACCGACATTTTATTTTTTATTTTTTTTTACGTATTACCGAATATTTTTTATTAATATTATTTTGATTTTAATTTATAGTATTTAAATTTTAATTAAAAAAATTATTATACTTGCTCATTACTATTGAGAATATCATGAATTTAAAACACAAATAATTTTTTTATCAATTTAAAAAAATAATAATAAACTTGGCGACAAATTAGCATTGGAAATTAGTAACAAAAATGGTGATGGAATAGCAACAATTAAATTAGCTTTGGATATTAGCGACGGAATATCAATCGTCAATTAGCAATGGAATTTACGATAGAAAAATAGCAACAATTAAATTAGCTTTGGATATTAGCGATGAAATATCAATCGTTAATTAGCGATGGAATTTAAGATAGAAAAGTGATGTATAAGGCGATGTTTTTGGTGACTAATTAGCAATAGAATATAGCACTTTAGCAATAGAAAAATTGTCGCTATATTAGCGATTGATACTTTTCTACCGTAGCTAGGGTTAGCGACAAGCGTTTTAGCAATGGATTTTCTTTAGTTGCAAACCCATCGCTAAACACTTTTAGTGACAACTTTTCCCTTATTAGCGATGGATTTTTCTCGTCACTAAGTGGCACTTTTCTTGTACTAGTGTATGTTAATTGCATATATAAAACTGTCATGTGGATCTTTATCAAGACACTCGATGATTAAAAAAAGATTCAATCTCATTTTCGGATAGTAACAATAAAAATAAATAATTTACATAATAACAATAAGATATTTATGATGTTTATATAAAATTAATTTTTTTCTTTAAAAAACAAACAAATTAATTCAATATATTAGATGCAAAGAAATGATTGAAAACTAAAACATAAAATTTTAGTTGTGTTCATCCACAAAGACAATGATTCATTCTCATTCTCATTCTCAAAATAAATAAATAAATAAACTAAGAATGATGGTTGTATGGAAGATGACCATATGAAATTGAGTTTTAATTTAGAACGAGGGATGACATGAATTTGGGTTGGATAAAATGAGTTGATTAGGAAAGTTTCTTATTTAAATTTATATATTTATTAGTTGATCTATTCTTATGTTTACAATAGTAATTTTTTTAGAGACAAACATTTGATAAGTATAACAGTTTCACATATGTAAGTAACAAACAAATTAATCTTGAATTAGCATAACCATTCAAATAGAAAAAAATTAAAATTGATACACTTAAATTGCAATGATTAAAGTTTACACACTTAAATAAAAAAAATGATAAATTTGTACCAAAAAGAAAAATGATAGTGGAACCCACATGTTGGTGCTACATGTGTAGTTAATGACTATATCAACATAAAATTAATAAAAGTTAACGAAAAACACTTAATTAGAAAAAAATTACTACTTTATTTATTCAAATAAAAAAGATTAAAATACATAAACTTGATTATTATTATTATTATTATTATTATTTTGATAAATTGGTACATAAAAAATATTATTAACTCAAATAAAAATCGTACATCCAATGACGCAAGAATATTTAATGGCAGGTTGACCAATGGCTTTGAGCGGTTCATCTGAGTTAGTTTAATCTCTTGATATATTTTTTGATAGAGATCTCTGGATATATTAGCAAACAGCCTTGCCAAAAATAAAATAAAATAAATGTTGAAGTCATAAAACGGCATTTTCAAATATTAAGTTTAAATAAAATATTATAACACTAAATAAAAATGTTGTTTTTATAATTTTCATGACTTTCATAAACATTTTGGGTTTTTTGTGTTTCAATTTAGTCTTGAGTTCATTAGTGTTACGTTTTGGCCTCTTTGTACGTTGAAAGAGAAGGAAATAAAATTTTGGGAGAGAGGAAACCATCGGTCACAATGTTTTCCCGCAAGATTCCGAATAATAATAATAAAAAAAAAAAATCATGTGATCAATCTTGACACACTAAGTTTATTAATTGTCATATTAAGTCAATTTTTTGTGGAAAAATAGGTATATAAGATCGAAAATATTTTCATCTTTAAGTTTTGGTTGGATTTTGAGGGATTTTCAGATAGATGCAAATAGACTTTTGATTTCAAATTAGTTTGTAGGGATTTTGGAGATAAGTTTGAGGTTCTTTTAGCTGAAAATACAGTAAAAAGACTGAGTTTTGAATAAATAAATAAAAAGTAAGGTCGTCGATGACCAAAACTTTTCATTTATGTATAAAATACAACGAAATTTAATTGATAGCATTAATTATTGAAAACATTTGATGGAAATGTTGCTTGTAAAGAAATTTCAAATTCATTTTCATTCAATTAATAAAGCATTTATTTGACCTTTTTCACCTTAATGGTACGTAAGTAGAAGCAAAATTTTCTTTAAATTCAGGAATGAAACACTCCTTTCACACAACTATATATATATATATATCTTTAATTTGTAATTTTTTATTACTTTTTTTTATTTTTGAATCTTTCAAGGTATCTCAAGCCTAAGCACTCAAACTAATCCCTCACTATTTTGTGAGACCTAAAAAATAAAAATAGCTATCCAAAAGGTTTTTTACTTGTATAAATGCTCAAATTCCAAAACACTTATTTAAACAATTAGAACTCTTTTACTCAAATCAATCTTTTTAAATTACTACCTTACTCCTTTCACACAACTTCATGCCATAAAATTTTAACAATAATGAACATCTGCAATTGCAATTAATTTGTGCACATAATTTATTTGTGATGTAAATGTATAATTAAGTTGGCTTTCGGAAGTGCATTAAATTCAAAGATCAGTAAATACAGGAAAATATGGCTGAAGGAATTAATACTCCTAGGTAGGGTACAGAATTTTTTTTTTTTTTTACAAAAAGAATTAGTGAAAGATGGACTAATTAGACAGACTCATGCATGGTACGTGCGCAGAATTAAGCATTTCAACTACTTGGCTCATGGTTGGTCTTGCGTCCCTGTCTTCATTTACACATTTTAGAGCCACCATGGCCAGAATTTCCATCTTAGCTTTATCATATTTTCCTTCTAACTTGGGGTCAATAATCATTTCTATCCAAGAATCCACAGCTTCATCTGCTCCCTTCATCTTTTCTCTCACCCATATCAATAGCCTTTGATGCTCCATCTCTAGTACTGTTGGACTCTTTCCAGTCACTATCTCCAACAACACTATACCATAGCTATAAACATCAACTTTTGAGGTGATGGGCAGGTTGAAAACCCATTCTGGAGCCATGTAACCTCTAGTTCCTCTTATCCGTGAGAATCTTGAATTTACAGTACAACTACTCCCTCTTTTTAGCAGTCGAGATAGCCCAAAATCAGACACCTTTGGCTGATAGTCGGAGTCTAGTAGAATGTTTTGAGGCTTCACGTCACAGTGCAGAACCCACTCTAGACATTCTTCGTGTAAATAAGCTAGGCCTTTGGCAGTGCCGACCGCAATGTCGAACCGCTTTTTCCAATCAAGTGCGCCGGAAAGCAGATTTTCTGCCAATGATCCATGCTCCATGTACTTGTAAACCAAAATCCTGTGCTTTCCCTCTGCGCAAAATCCCCACATTTCTATCAAATTCATGTGGTTAAGCTTCCCAATTGTGCTGACTTCTGCAAGGAATTCTTCTTCTCCTTGGTTTGCTTCCTTCAGTAGCTTTATTGCTGCAACTCTATGATCAGATAGTATTCCTCTGTATACAATTCCTCCTCCACCTCTTCCAATCTCTTCTCTGAAACCCTTGGTTGCTGTTTTTATCTCAGAGAGGGTGAATTTTCTAAAGCAAGTTTCAATACAAAAATAACCTTGGTTAATCGCTCCCAACTTGTTTTGGTTTCTTATCAAGCAATACCACACCAAGACTATGCTAAGGAACTCGATCGCTCCAACTCCGCAAGCAAACCACAGAACAGATTTTGAAGTTCCATTTTCATGGCCGTTTGAATACGTTCTGTTCAGCTGCACGACAGCTTCAACAGAACAATCCAACCTGGAATCTTCAACGTGCCTATACGAAGAAGAGAGACTGGCTGTTTTTGGTACTTTCAGGTAGATGTCCCCATCAAAGTTTGGTGAGTATTGGCCATTTAGGAGTGCTGTCTTCGGGTAACAGTAAGGAATGTTACTTGGATAGTAGCGCCTACTGAATCTGAGCTGGAACCCCTTGCAATTGCACATTTTTGAGCATAGATCCTCACACATCGGCACTGTGTAATTGGGAAAGAATCCATATTCATACCCAAAAAACTCAACATTAGATAGTTTAAGGTAACTGATCTCATCTGTGCTACAAGAACAATTCACTTTAGGTTCACAACCCAAAGACCAGTTTGAATGATCGTTGGCCTTGAATCCTGGAAGACAAGAGCATCTCCTGCCGGAACTGGGGACATAGTTACACAAACTGTTAGGTCCACAAATCCCATGAATCCTGCAAGGTTGGGACACGGCTTGCCATGAAACGATCCATTTGTTTCTGCCGTTTTCTCGACTGTATAGTCGAAGATTACCATCAAAATCGATCTTCAATATTCTCTGAGCTCCCATTCCATAATCCAGTGACAAGAAAGTAAAATCATCAGATGAACTAAAATTTCCCAAAGAATCAAAAAGGGCAATTCTAGTGCTGTTAAAAGTGGACCTCCCACCGTCCCAGGTCAAGAGCCATGTGTTTGGCCAGTAAATGCTTGAAGTCTCAGGGCCATCATATAGAAGACGGAGAACATTATCGCTGTCGAAATATAACTTATAAACTCCAGAAGAATAGTTGGTTCGACTTCTCGTGGAGACAAGCTGCCTGTCTTTACTGAGTGGTTGCTGCGGAAGGAGGGTATCTGTTGGATAATCAAAGCTTTGCCATAGTACTCTACCACCTTCTTTGTCATATAAGAAGAGATTACCGTTGTCGTGAAGCTGCAACTCAATCCAGGATTGCGAGGCGGTGTCTGTAGCCCAAACTGTGGACTGACCAGCATCGATTATGAGAAGATTACCAGAATGAAGCAGAGAGAGCTTGGATTTTTTCCCATTAACGGGTTGGTCGCGGTTTGCCATCCAAATTACAGAGCAGTTGGTACGACAGAAAGGTTCAATGAACCATATAGAGAAGCAGAATGCATTGTCGCCAACGGGGAAGAATCCAGCCGAGAAAATGGCACTTGGTGATATCAAGACATCGTTTGTGTTCTCCACTGACAACGACGAGCCTTTGCTTAAAGTATTAGAAGCTGCAGAGGATAACGGCGAGGATAAAACAGAAAGCAGAAGAAGAAAGAAAAATGGTATAGCCATGAATGTTCTTGTGGAAGTTCTAAGGCTAGCTAGTGCTGTAGACTCGAGCAAATTAATTAAATTTGAGCTAGTTCACCATTTGTGCTTGGGGAATTTTGCTTAATTATATAATATAGAGAGAGATGCATACATTTAATTACCAAATAATGTTGATGAATAATGATGACGGTGATTCTAAATTTGTAATGATGTTAGTACTGGCGGCTGTTGGATGATGACCGTCTCAGCTATATACTACGTCCTACGTACGTACGTACGTACTTTGAAATATCATATATCTTGCTACCATTTCAAATTCTCTGTTCACTAGCTAGCTAGGTGGATAATGGATCTTCTCTGGTCTATTATTGCTCTGTGCTTCTGGAACTGGCAGCTAAAATTTGTTTGAGTTAGTAGTGTTGGACTATTTTTTTTATTAAAATATTAATTATATTAAATAATAATAATAAATGAAAAAAAAATTAAATCGTTACATTTGAAACAAAAGACCAACGGTCTTTTTCATTAATTTTGTAACTTTTTTTCATTGATTTTTTTAATGTTTTTTATTGAGTTTTAATATATATTATATTAGCAATTAATTTTTTTAAATTAATAAATTAAATTCTCCAAACGTTTACTTCACTTACCCATGTATAACTTGAGAAGAAAATGTAACAGCAAGTTTTTGCTTTGCTTTGAAAGAAAAAATATTTCTTTTATATTTGTTTCTTTAGCCTCTCACCTAAAAAAAAGTAATATGATTTTTTAGTTCTATATTTGGATAAGAGTGGTGCTAATTTTATTTAAATTTTTAAATCTTACAAGTAGTACAAACTTATTAAGATACGATAAGGTAGCCGAGCCTATTGTATCTCCGAGATGGCATGTAATATATTTTTGATCCGTTGAATTAGATAAATTCTACGGATAGCACGTACCGTATCAAAAAAGCAACCTGGTTGTACCTCCAGTCACTCATCTAAAAATTATGATAAAACTAGTTTGATGGTTGGGACATCTTTATGTTGCGAAATATGATAATGTGATTTTAATCATTAATTTTTCTAATGATCAAGGTAAAAAGTTTCAATTCTTTATTTATTTTAATTTACGATAAATTTATTTATTTATTATGTCAATATTTATTATTTAATTATGTTCCTTTTGTGTGTTAGGAACAACAATTTGAGACGATACCATGTCGTGATTTAATCATTAAAATTGTGAAATGAATTTGGGCATGAAATTTTAATATTATGTTTTTCTTTTTTTCATAATGTCAATGTCATTACTTATCTATTGCGGTTTTTTATTAGGGCTTGATGATTCTAGCTACTTAATTAAGAATAAAGCAAGTATTGAAAATATATATATATATTATTTTGCTAGCATCTTGCTTGGTTTTATACATCTAACAAATTTCATTACTTGAAAATAAATTTGTAGATGTTAATTAGCCTTATTAAAAAAAAATTCATTTATTGTTTTATTTTACTCTTACATCCGGACCATATATTGTTATGGATGAATTAATAATTCTTTATATGTGATAATATACATATATTGTTAATTTTTATTTTATTAAGCTTTAAAGACAATAATCTTATTTCAATGTCAATCCTCTTTTCGTGTGATTACGTTGCTCTTGAAATAACAATAATAATAAAATTGTCACTACCATGTGACTAATGAGATACCAAAATCATGTTTAATAGAAAAATATATACTATTTTTTTTGCTAATATATTTTATGTGCATATTTTTGATAATATTTACATATTATTATGTAGTGTATTTTGTAACTTACGATTACCTATCAAATATTGTTATTTAAAACCAAGAATTTTGATGGTGTGATATGTTGATATTAACCATGTTGTTGATTTATTTTGTGAATTATATTATTGATACAAATATTTTGTAACTTACAATTACCTATCAAATATTATTATTTAAAATCAAGAATTTTGATGGTGTGTTATACCGATATTAACCATGTTGTTGATTTATTTGTGAATTTTATTATTGATACAAGTATAAATAAATTAAGAATTGATTTATAAATATATTTATATTGATTAATTATAATTAACATTGAAATTATTTGTTATGTTGATGTCATGTTACCAAGATAAATAAGAAGCCAATAAAGAGAACATATCCAATATCTTTATATAGATATATTGATCATATTGGATACAAAGTCAAGGAAATCATAATTAAATGGCAACGTGAGGCAATTGGAGCTTTGCCAATATAAAAATTATTTCAAGTCTCCAACGATACTTATGTTACGATAAGTATAAAAAGTCAAGTAAGTATTTTAAATATTAAATTATTAAATACTTTGATTTTTGCTCTATATATTTGATATTCACTTTTGATGATGAAAGCATGTGATATTTGTGATTGCAAGTAATTTTAGATTTTTGTATGGATATTTATTGATCCATGCATAAGTGTTTAATCTAAAAACAAAAAGGAGGGGGAAATGTGAATTATCATATAAACTATTTTTATTGAATATTTTGTGAATTAAATATTTCTAAAAGGTTGGTTCACATGATTGATTTATTAAGACTTGAAAGGTCATGTATTGATATAATTAAAATCAATTATGATTGAAAGCTAAGTATTTTTATGTGATTTCTGTTGAAGTTGTCATTATAATTTATGTTTGACAATCATATCTAATTATGGAAATAATAATATTGTTAGTAGATTCTTATTAAGATAAATTGGCAAGGTACATGAATTAATAAAGAGAGAATGATTAATATTTTCTATGTGAAAATAAAAAATTGATATATTATTTTCTAAAAATATATCTTGTTGATTATTTAGCCACAAGAATAAATTATAATTTTTGATGATTAAATAATAGAATAATTCATGTCATCACTTTGTCTACGAGTAGTAGCAAGAAAATTAATTATTATGTGAATAGCAGGTATAAAAAAATGCTATTGCATTAAAATTTTGTTTGAGAAAATTATTATGCAATTCAAGATAAATTATCATAATTCTCTCATGATGATAAATTATCATAATTTTTTCTCATGATATTTGAGTTATTTGCCACATGTAAATTTTTTATGTGATGTTATTGAAAATTTTATAAAAGCATTCCTATTATACAAAAGGTATAATGATGCTTATGGAATATTTGGCAAAACTATTGAGAGAATGGATGGAATTAGTGACACTCCTATTGTACAATTAAGGTACAATTGTGTTTTGATAATATCATCCGACAAGTGAAATTAGAGACACTCCTATTGTATAATTAAGATACAATGCTCGTTGTAATGATATTGTCTAATAAGACAATTGATGATATTTTCGAAATTTAAATCTCTAACTAAATATTGACATCCCTATTGTATAGATGAGATGCAATGATGTCAAATTTTGTATAAGAAAGTAGAGATCGGAAAATGTTCCTATTCACTTCAATGTGATTATATTAAATATTTTTCATTGTATTAGAAAATGCAATAATGGCATCATATTTTAGCGCAATAATGGGGATGTGAAAAATAAATAGTATGTTTACCATTGGCTCAAGTACGTGTGTGGTGAAACTTAAATTGACTAAAAAGTCAAAGTCAATGAAAAAGCAAGTTGATGCTAATGAAAAAGAAAACAAATGGATGTTTTGCTTTGTCTAAAATAACAAGGATGAAAAATTTCTACCACTTGTTTTAGCACTAATAAATTAACTAAGTGCTAGTTACCTAATCCTTTTGGTGTATATTGAATATTGTGGGAGTAAATCTTTAACTATAGTCAAAGGATTAGACGATACATCGAGGGGGATGAGACTAAGCCCATAAATGAATAAAATCACCTATATGAATACTCTACCTAGTGGACTCGGAGATCACAAGAACTAGGTTCGAGGAGAAGAATGAGCATAGAGTAGTTTGATTATGTGCACAATTTATTTGAGTTACGATACTCATATGTCTATCCATATTGTGTAATGCATGAATCCCATAACGAAAAAGAGGTTTAAGTTTCTTTAAATGAAACTTTTAATCTCATCAATAATTCTTTTTTAATGGGATGTTAGAGTTATAGGAGCATCTTTGCTAGAGACACTTATATGAGTGACGAAGTGGGGCAGCTTTCCTATCAAAATCGGGCTAATTCTCTATAACATTCATAGAAGCCAGGATCAAGCACAAGGACGTTAATGTATTGGCTCGAAACTCATCGCAGTACCTAAATATAATATGTGTGATGCAATATTTGTTTCACTTAAAAAGCCTTAGTTCAAGACAATATTTACTATTGGCTTAAGAGAAATGTTTTTGAAACACTAAGTAACGATTCAAGCTATTAGCACCCTTGTTATGTATTATATTCGTTTTCTTACTAAAAAATATGACTAATATTTTATTAAAAATAAGTGGAGGATTGTTCGAATATTTTTTATTCAAATATTAATTATATTAAATAATAATAATAAATAAATAAATGTTTCAAACCGTTACATTTGAAACAAAAGACCAACGGTCTTTTTCATTAATTTTGTAACATTTTTTCATTGATTTTTTTAATATTCTTTTATTGAGTTTTAATATACATTATATTAGCAATTAATTTTTTAAAATGAATAAATTAAATTATGCAAACATTTACTTCACTTGCCCATGTATATATATTTACTCTACTTGAGAAGAAAATGTAACAGTAAGTTTTTGCTTTGCTTTGAAAGAAAAAATATTTCTTTTATATTTGTTTCTTTAGCCTCCCACTAAAAAAGAAGGCCATGTGATTTTTTAGTTCTATGTTTGGGTAAGAGTGATGCTCATTTTATTTAGAATTTCAAGTCTTACAAATAGTACAAACTTGTTAAAATATGAAAAAAATGACTAAGCTTGTTGTATCCCTAAGATAGGGTGTAATATATCCTTGATCCGTTGCATCGATAAATTCTATGGATGACGCATATCGTCTCAAGAAAACAACCCGATTGTGCCTCGAGTTAGTCACCTAAACATTATAATAAA